GCATAATTCAGTTGTGGAGCCAGAAAAAACTAGACGACAGGGGTGCTGGACTAGAAAAGGGTTGTCGGTCTGATTAAATCTCCCAAGAAAGAAAAGGGTTGAATTTGATTTTTTAGGCTTATTTTTCTCTTAGGGATGATTTACAGGTTTGTATTTTTCTTAGGAATTAATTCTACAAGCAAGTCCAGTGCTGCAGCCCAGCAGCACTGATCCTTGCTCTGCCCCTGACCACGTTTCATTAGGGGCAGGGTATGGAAATAATGCAATAACTACATGATAGTGTACTGTTCCTTTTTCTGAGGAATCAGGAGGGGCAAGAAGCCCCTAGCTACCTACATGATACTAGTATACCGTGGAACGTTTTCTTCCGCTATGGACAGGTGCTAGTTGCAGAATGGAGGTGTGGTAATATTGAGTACGTTGTTTACATGTACTACATGCTCATATTTGTCATTTCTTAGGAACTTCAAAGCTGGAGAGTTAGGTTCAAACCGTCCCAAGAAGACATATGGTTGCAACATCTGCAAGTATGTGCGGAGATCGATTGGAATGGAGTGCATTGACCCTAACCCAGCGAGTAGGCCAGATATACTGATGAAATGGAGCGTACGTGCAGTTTCATTGATACTGACATCTCTGCTTCATCGGCACCACAAGTAAGTTTAATCATGGCACATATATATAGCACATATTCTCACATGGTGTGTAGCATCCCGTGTTTTGCCGTACAATAAAATTCAATAAAAAAAATTAACCTTTTAAAATCACAACAAATTAAATATTGTTTTGTCGAATTATCACTACTACTACAAAAAATATTTTTGCCAACACTATTTCACTACCAGTTTTTTCTTAATAGTGGTGATATATTTTTACTGTCGTTTCATTACAAACGGAAATCATTTTCACGGCTCGTTTGTAACGGAACCGGCGATGATAATTCACCGTCGGATTTGTGTACTAAACCGACGGTAAAAACCGGTCACAAATGCACCAAACCCTAGCCCACCATCTATCCCTCACCCACACTCCCTCCTGGCCGTTACCATCTCCTCACCCATGCACTCTCCCTCTCTTCCTCACCCACAGCCCACCAGTGGCGGATTCAGAGACCGATCAAGAGGGGGGCTAAATAGTACAAGGCTTGAACGATATCGACTCAAAGTGCATCTTTCTTACCAATTTTTTTTCCTATTCTAGTACCCTACAATATAACTGAATCTGTGAATCATTCAGTACTAAAAATCGAACACATACTCTATGAAATTTCAGCCCACAAGGGGGGCTGCAGCCCCGGCAGCCACCCCCCTGGATCCGCCCCTGCAGCCCACGGTGGCACGCAATGTGGCGCACTCCCACTCCCACTCCTAGCCACCTCCAGATGGCAAGGCAGCCCAGATCTACCCACTCCCCCTGGTGGCTCGCCCTTTCTCTAGGTGTGGGGAGGCGGGGCCCACCACCCTCTCCCAATGCGGCGATTGTGAGGGCCCTAGCCCCATCTAAGCGGTGGGGGCGAGGCCAAGGAGTTTATCGTCTCCTATCAGGGATAATTTTATCGGCGATAAAATTTCGATATACCCAATAATCCCGTTTATCGCTAAGGTCCGATAAAATTTATTTATCGCCGAGATTCCAATTTTCACTAGTCCACCTATATGAAAGTGTGATACTCTATTATATCAATACTATTATGTGCTAGTTCTTGATGTTAAATGCTTTAGGGACAACTTATGTAATATTTTAGTGAAATTAGGTATTTTTTTGTTTTATTTTTGACCGAGAATTTTTCCGATAAATCCGATAAACCTGTTTATCGGTGACCTCCGGTATTTTTTTTTGCTACTCTCAAACATCACCTGCTGAGTCCCGTATAGTTTGGTTTGTTGCTGCTGCTGCACTGGAGCACCTGCTACTGCATACTCGTCAAGTCATCATCTGCTGCTGAAGGTGAAGGGTACAAGCAGAAGGTCGTCCCTGATCCTCCCTTTGGTCCAGTTAGCCCCAACGGCCGACCTAGCTCCCTCCCTCACCTTTTTAACAGACACATGCCCCGGCTCCATGTGGCTAGCTACTCAATGTTTACTTTGCAAGTTTGCATTGGAGCCATGGCCCATGGATGTCTCTCATATCGTAGTTGTCATGTAACATCGTCACTCTCCTCCAGCGGGGTTCATGAGCTTCATGTGCGTGTTTGTCATGACCTTGCCATATATCGCTCCTCGCTTATGCCTGCTTGTCAGAAAAGATCATCGCTGCCCCACTGATATTTCCCTCTTCCATCGCCTATAAAAAGATCATGAACCTCGCCATTTCCTGATTTCTGTCGACCTACTGAGAGCTGACTAGAACTTCCATGCCCGAGCTCTACTGTCCTTCCCTGCTTCTTGGAGCGTTCGGCCATGCCAATCATGAGCTTCGATAGCTCTAAAGTTAGCCCCTCCTTCCTTCTTGCCATCTAGTCTTCAAAAATTTTGCTAAAAAAAATTAAATGTGAGCTACAGTTGCACTAGTGTAAAATGGCACTTGAACCATCACCTGTATCATTCTATGCTCTTGCATGAAGCTAGGCTCGACATGCAAGACTCATGCATTTGTTATACCTGTTTGCTGATATATGCATGGGAATTGCACGTAAGGCATGGATAGGAAGATTGAATCAAATATAGTCATTAATTGGTTTTATTTTTGAGGAATCGGGGGGGGGTTGTGGGGCTTCTATTTGTTAATACATACTTCATTATAAACTGTAAATTATTTTGCCTTTTATAGATACCTAGTTTTTATTATGTATTAGACGTACCATAGACCTAGGTGCGTAGCAAACCTAGCCTGCTAGAAAAAACCAAACAACTTAAAATTAAGAATGGAGTGAGTATTAGTTAAAAATCGAAAGGTTTAAGAGGTCAAGAGACCTGGGGTCAGTTAAGAAAAAAAGGAGACAAACAAAATAAGGTAAATTATTACCAAAGTTTTTCTATCCATAAGTCCAAGGGAGGAATCCAATATAGTCGTTACGTGCTTCTTTCACGTGGATTCAACGCAATTTATTTCTTGTAGAATATATGCTTAAATTAACCCAATAACTAAAAAAATGATATTGACGATCGAATCATGCTTTTATGACATGTAGGAGTATTATCATTAATTCCATCGGGCCCTAGTCCTCTGACGAGAACTATTCTTATGTTTTGTATCCAGGTGCTGGATATCTACCCGCTAAATATTTGGTGTCACTTCGATCCAAACAATGACATCAAATGGCCAGTGACTCTAACCAATAGGACAGACGATCTTATTGGTGTATGTATTAAACCGACCTTCGCATATGCACGTTCCAACCTTAGTTATCCATATGTGCCGGAGCCACATTTTGGAGAGGGTGACCCTATACCATCACCTTTCGTAAGGTTGGGGCCACATTCTAGCGTGAATATTTAGTACATGACTTTGAGAAAGCAAGAGGAACCCTGGCTACCAGCATACAAGCGCATGTTCGACGTGGTGATGGTTGCCACGAAGTCGGAGGAATACCTCAAAAGTTTGGGTGACCATTGGAACCATGGTGCATGGAGCAGGACAAGTCTGAGGACCCATTGAGAGGAGCTAAGGAGCTGGGTACCGTGGTGCATCGAGCAACAATGACGGTTCTTGTCGCCAGTGACGACCGAGAAAGAGCGGCGGATCGGAGCGTGGGGATTAAATAGAGAGAGGGGGGAGGTGCTAAATTGTTTAGTACAAATTAATGTATATGAATTTTTTTGCAGATGTATTCTGTTTTATTAGTATGTTGTCTTACTTGAAATTAGTAATTGGGTGTAGCAAAGAAAATATTAGCATTCTATCAAATATCAACCTTCCTTTCCACGTACTATAGCCTTGTTTAGATGCGCATGTATTAATCTTAATCCACATGTGTTAAAGTGGACTAAACTGAAATTAAACTAAGTCCCATTTCAATTCACTTCAACACATATAGATTGAAGTGGATACACATACATGCAAACTAAGTCCTTAATTATCATATCTATATGGTAAGTATTGGCAGAGAAGGGGGAGCGATGGCCCAGTTTCGCCTCTGAGGCTCTCCGCCAGTGCAGCAAGGTCCCAGGATCAGGAAACAGCAGTCCATCAGGTGAGTTGAGTTGGTCTCATATATATATATATATATATGAAATTTTTTACTATGGTTGAGGGGAATTTCGACGGCTCACGACGAGCGATCCGACGGCTAGGAATGCAGAAGCGAGAAGCATTGAGAGGCGTTTATGAGGGAGGCGTTAGATATGTCTATGATCGGTGGGCCCATATGCATTATAACGCCTCCCAACGCCTCCAAAATTAAGGGGATTAGGACTCCAAATAAAGAAGTGGTAATTCCTTTTTCGTAGTTCTTTTATGTAAGCAAGGGTAAAACGGTAAATTCATAATTATAAAAATAATGTTTTGAGTAGTATAGTTAGGGTATATGATTCAAGTACTATAGTTAGATAAATATCTTCTTCTTCATTTTTTTATCAAAAATCTTCTTCTAGGGTTCCACCCGCTGCCGTCCACCAGTCCGTGCTACAGGGAGCCGTCGCCGCCGGTGGGAGGGGACCGCCCGGGGCTGGGTGAGTGCGTGGGTGATGGCGCTTGCGGCGGCATGCCAGGGCGAGGGAGATGTCGAGGGCGAGGGCGGAGCTGTCGTTCACGAGGCGGTGGGTGGGTGGCCCGGCCGGGTGGTGCTGTTGCTAGGATACCCGCCGCGACGGCGACCACCGCCCGCCTCCGCCTGCCGCTGCCAAAAGTGGCCCACCACTCGCCCTGCTCGAGCCGGCGCCACCCCGATTGCCGCCGCCGCTGACGAGCGACCACACGCTTGGCGCCCGCCATGGACGCCTTCTCCCGCCCTGTTGTCGTCACCGACAACGGCACCGGGTTCCCTAGATATGCGTGCGGAGGCGCGACGGCGGTGAGTCACGCTGCTGATCTGCTCTGACTCTCGCGGCAGGTACACGAAGATGGGGTTTGCGGGGAACGTGGAGCCCTGCTTCATCACCCCCATTGTCGTCGCCGTCAATGATTCCTTCTCCTCCTCCGCCCAGCCGGTGGCGAGGGGCGCCCCCGGCAGGGGGAACTGGCTCGCCCAGCACAGCGCCGGATCCCACGCCAGCAGCACGCACAGCTTGAGCTATCCCATCCGCAACGGCCAGGTGGGCGCTCCAGCTGTGTACTGCTGTGTGTCCAGTTGCTGCTGTTTTTTTTTTCACTTTATAGTATTTGGCAATCGCTTATCTTTTGACCCAATGCCTTCTGACCTTCAGGTATTACTCTACTCCAATTAGTCATGTGACGGAAGTTCAATTTGGACACTGAAATGTTCTCTTTAACATCATCTGGGTTGACAATTTCTTTCTGATATATCTGTAGAATCTAATAAAATTGTGGCAGTAGGACAGTATTTTCTGAGACAAATCTACTATGCAGTACCATTATTGACCTATTTGGCCCCGTTCGCTGGTCTGAATCTTGGTTGAAACTGGCTAAAAAACACTATTCTTGCTGAATTGTTGTGAAAGAAAAATATTGTTCCGGCTCAAGCCGAATATGGGGTAAGCCGAACGGAGCCATTAATGTATTCATAAAGATATTTCGTCATAATAAAATATTCTACTGCACCTGTTCTAGACTTTTAGTACACTCTTACTCCATCCCAAAATAAGTCTCCAACTCGTATTTTGAGGAGTCCACCAATCTCAACTTGAACGAAGTTTATAGAAAATAGTATCAAATTTTTTGTCTCCAAAAAATCCAAATAGGTTTACTATGAAAATGTATGATGTAATTAACGTAATGATGTTTATCCAGTATCAAAAATATTAGTACCTTTTTTGTATTTGTATATATATCGGCATCAGTGTTATAGAATTTTTTAGTACACTAGTCTAACTTATATGATGAACTGTCAAGATATGAATGACTCAGCTGATAGTACTACAGATGAATTTCTTTCGTCTTGTGGGCAAAACGTGTTATTTAACAAACTCTTGAATATTTGATATTAATGCAATCCTTAACAGGAGAGGAGGAGCAATGAAGAAGATGAAACCTGCTGCATTCAGGATAAAAAAAATCCAAGTGTCAAGTAGTCCTATTTTTAACAAACATTTTCCAGTTTTCTTAAAACAAAATTTCCACTTTAACTTGGATTTACTTTATTTTATGAAACATAGTGCAGTGGTGCTACAAAGAAGCCAGTTGGAATCTTGCATGTACAAGCAGGATTCAGATCCCCTGGAGTCGGCCTCATCGACTGCAGCCCATCTAAAGCCCATGACACAGCGACGCTTGAGCACGCTGTCTTCTTCACCGCCGCTGCCGTCTTCCTTGTCGTGTATCTTCCTCGCGGTGACTCGTTCCTTCCCCACGACTGTCGTCACGGGTCCCCGAACTTAATCCCTCATGCGACGTCGGTTGCGGCGTGGCCAGCTTCGGTGGCTACCTGTTCGAGCGCGACGTGGTGACCATGTCGGTCGTGCCCAAGGACGAGCACGAGGCGCAGGTGCAGATGGCGCTGGAGCGCGGGATCATTCATGCTGCAGTTGCAGGCCGAAGCATCTCCTCCCTCTTTGCTGTCATAACTCATAGCTAACGCTCGATCGCTGGATCTTCCAGGAATCGCTGGGGCATGTGAATATAAACCTGGTGGATGTGGTGAACAACGGCCGGATCAACGAGAAGTACCACCTCATCAACTCGAGGAACGGGATGATACACGTGGAGATCAAATGGAATACGGTGTGATTATTCTGTTGTGCGTAGGACGTAGCTCAGTTCACCACACGCCTTTTGTGCTCGTGTGATGCATCTTCAGCTCGTGTAACGTTCCATCTGTAGCTGTTAGCTTAAAAATTGTAACATCAATGGGCTGCCAAGAGGCGTGCGACTGGCTTGTGAGATGTTGTTGCTATTATAAGCCGATCAGGGCTTGTTTGGTTGCTTGCACTTGCAGCCGTCGTCAAACGCTACCACCACAAGAACGAGCAGATGAGAAGAGCAGACGCTGACAGAAAAAAAATTGCGACTTCACTGTAAAAAGTTAAAAACTGTTTGGCAAAACTATTCCTAGATTTATCCTGGGGATATCTTCGATATCGTGGTCACTGGCCACGCTATTGGCGACCTGCTAATAAGATGCAAGAAACAGAACATTAGAGCGCGCTGCGAGCGAGCAGGCTGGCAGCAGCAAATGAGCGTCGAGCATATTTGACAAACAGATTGGCCAGTATTTGAACGCTACAACAAACCTCATCAAGAGATCAAGCAACAGTGAATTGAAACACGCCTAGAGGGGTCACACTTGTCATAGCAACTAGACAGGCACACGTATCAAAAAAAAAAAAAAAACTAGACAGGCACACACCACATGGACTGACTTCTGCAGTCACGCTGCAAAATAATTACTGAACATACTGGTTGGTGGTGAGCTACTGGGTAGGGATCATTCCACAGCACTGTACCCTCCCGTGACAAAAGGGCTGCCAAGTGACTAGAGAAGCCCAACAACTGGTTTTAGATAGATAATGCAACCAGCTACATTAGCTTTCCTATATTTACATGGAAGTACAACTAAAGCTTGAATTAACCACCCAAAAGCTGCTTCCAGCTCTACACGCTAAACTTTACAAGCCTCCTGCAGTCAAGGCAAAATATTCGGCTGATTAGTACCCAGCAGCGCTGACCACTGTCCTCCAACAATCCCCGGAGCTCCAAGCTGCAAGCATCACACGAATTAGCTACAACTCAGACTGAGAATGTTTACATGTTCAGTTCGCCAGTAAGATCAGCATGTTTTTTTTTTCCAGAAAGCATAAGCGATACGAGAGTACCTTTTGCTGGCACCTCAATCCATTGACCGTTCATAATGTTGAGAATGCTGCAGGCATCGCTGTACTCCAGATCAGGTAGAAGCTTGGGCGTCAGAAGGAAGCATCTGCAGGCAAAAGAAGGGGGAGGTTATCAGATGTCAGGAGGTCTGCAGATCTGCATGCTGTACAAAGTGTTGAGTGCACTGTCATTAACTGTGGCGTGTTAATTTGGCTGGCAGCTCTGACAAGCTGCTGAAACATTTTCCTCTCGTTTATGGGGTCGTTCCTGCATATTCGGATGAATGCATTAGACCACCTCAATACCTACAAGTTAACAGTCATACAGTTGAGGGAGGAATGAAGCAATTCAGTTGTGTTACCTTGATTTATCTCATCAAGAACCCTAAAGGGGCAGTTGGTAAGATCTTGAAGTGACACAAGATACAAGATGGTCGATACTGATCGTTCCTATGAACAAGAAGGAAATAATAATGACCATAAGTAGGTGAAGAGAAAAGGTTTCACATTTGACTTGACATTGTTGATCCTTCATACCCCTCCAGATTGGTGATGAGAGCTTAGCACCTGCAGCTGACTAGTTTGCCTGACAACCAAGAGAGAATATATCAAAACCCTTGCTAGAAGGACAGCATAGAAAAAAAAATATCAGCAACAAATATGCAATCAAAAGAATAGATACTGTCCACACAAATAAAAAAAAGATTATGATTCAGTAGATGAACTGTTGAACTGTTTAAAAAATTTGACTTCTTTTGGATGGTTCAACTGTCCAAGGTTTTATCACAAGCTCTCTTTTGTTGAAATTACACCCATATTATACCTGAAATTTAAGTAGCTCCATCAGACCAAAAAAATAAGCATGGCAAAAAAACACCAGAATACTAGAGACCGGATGAGTATGACACTATATGATTATGATTTAGTCAAAATGAAATAGGTTTAGATCTCAACGACTAAGTCAAGAAAACAACATTGTTTCGTGACCCATGCTAGAGAGTCTGGAAATGAGAATAATGGTTTCTGAAAAAAAAAATCAATCAATTGCCATGTTCAGGGAACAAGCACTAGTACAGATGATGGCCAATGGCAATCAAGCCCAATGCAGATGTAAAAATGTTGATAGTACTTCCACAAGTGAAGCTCAATATTGGATTGTATGACCAGACATAGGGAGAATAAAAAATATAATTAGAATCTTATGATTTCAGATATCCAAGCAATCTTTGCACTTGCACATTTACAGTGCAATAAGTTCTGAGCAACCAGTCAATCAATTCAATTTCACATGAAAAACACAGGACTCAAGAATGCAATTCATAAAATTATCCCATATATCCCTTGGTGTATGTTGTTCGCTGATGATGTAGTATCAGTGGACGAAAGCCAGGCGGGAGTAAATAGGAAACTAGAGTTATGGCGGCAGACCCTTGAGTCTAAAGGTTTTAGATTGAGCAGAACTAAAACCGAATACATGAGATGTGACTTTGGCGAAGTTGTACAGGAGAAGGGAGATGTGAGTTTGGAAGGTCAAGTAGTGCCTAAGAAGGATACCTTTCGGTATCTGGGATTGATGCTACAGAGGGATAGAGATATTGATGTGGACGTTACCCATAGAATCAAAGCAGGGTGGATCAAGTGGCGACAAGCTTCTGGCATTCTCTGTGACAAGATGGTACCACAAAAGCTAAAAGGCAAGTTCTATAGAACGGTGATTAGACCGGTTATGTTGTATGGAGTAGAATGTTGGCCTACAAGACATGTTCAACAACTGAGTGTTGCAGAAATGCGTATGTTGCGATGGATTTGCAGTCACATAAGAATGGACCGAGTTCGGAACGATGATATACGTGATCGCCAAGAAGTTGCACCAATTCAAGAAAAGCTTGTCCAACATCGGTTGAGGTGGTTTGGCCATGTCCAAAGGAGACCTTCAGAGGCACCAGTACATTGTGGAGTCCTAAACCAAGCTAATAATATGAGGAGAGATAGAGGAAGACCGAAATTGATATGGGGGAGACAATAAAAAGAGATTTGGAAGCTTGAGATATACCTAGAGATCTATGTTTGAATAGTAGTACTTGGAAAGCAGCTATTGAAGTGCCTGAACCGTGACTTGGGGTTCTTGGTGGGTTTCAACTCTAACCTACCCCAACTTGCTTGGGACTGAAAGGCTATGTTGTTGTTGTTGTTATTGTTATATGAGACGTAGTAAAGGAGACAGTAGTCTAGTTGGACTATATCTGCCCTTCTTTGACACACTACATACAGGTACAGGTGAAGTTCATACTGTTAACTCTACAAGCAGTCAACGACAATAAGAAAAAAAATGTTGGCAATCAAAAGCCGGTGTACATTTAGGGATCATCATTAGCAAGCAACATTTTCACTAAGACTGAACTGAAGGAGATGAGCTGACCTGAAAACTGTTGTGGCAGTGCCAAAGGTTTTTACGGAAC